CTAGGCTACACTAGCCATGAAGCTCTTAGGCTACAGTAGCCATAATACCCCAAGGCTCACTTGCCATATCACCCCTAGGCTACACAAGCCATATTAACCCTAGGCTACACTATAGCCATATTACCCCTTAGGCTCACTAACCATATTGCCCTAAGGCTATACTAGCCATATTGCTCCTAAGGTACACTTGCCATATTGCCCTTAGGCTATGCTAGCCATGATACCCCTGGGGAACGTTAGCCTTATTCCCCCTTGGTAACAACAGATTACATTACCCCATGACGGAGAAACATCGCACTGAAAACGAAATCTATTTTAATTGTAGAATTCTTTGGGCATCACGCAACCTTAAAATGCTTGATATCAGAGGTCCCAACAGATATAGCCATGATGGATTACGGGTAAGGTATTACACATGTAAATTTCTCCATTCTGACTGGCCAAGAGGAATGCAGTTTTCAGGCAACACAATGTAGAAACATGAGGAAATAACTTCAGTGCTGATAAGTGGTATTTGGTGATCGTGGTCTGTTCCGATTAAAGGGGAAACATGGAAATCCACTCGTTTAAAACCTTTCTCGAACGATATTCGAAGCAAAAGATTGATCAATGAGGGCATTTAAGCCCGTTTCGCATTTCTATATCGAAACCTGTCAAACCGCTTTTACAAATCTAGAAAACCTATCAAACCGGTTTTGAAAGTTGAAGTCCACCAAAACTTGGTTAGGGTGTAGTTGAAATTAAATAAATGTTCGCTTTCCTTCCTAGTTTAACTCTAATTTGTGATTTTCCTATTTTTCACCAGGAAGTATTTTAGAGACAAGCTTTGAATGAATTTCTCCACTTGCAAAGCTGCTTGCATTCAATTCACTTCTGACAGTTTGAGTTTTTTTTTTTTTTTACTATGTTAGAGGCTGCCAGCTTCTTCACTGGAACAGCTGTACTTCACAAACAGTGCCTCATTCAGTAAAGTTGCAGCTATTGTGGAAAAGGTGACAGAGGTTTTTAGAGAAATTTGATAGTCATTTCCACCCTGTCTATTGATTCAACTTAAAACCCCCTGGAAGTAAATCTTTGCTGGGTATTAGAGTCTCAGAACTCATACTCCAATAAAGTCTATTGTGTGGCCAGTTATAGACCCCATCTTGATCCCTTTTAAGACAAATGCGATTTTTTTGCGATCCCAGCTCAGTCACTCTCTGTTTATGCATCTACGTCATATTGCCTTTTAAGCAAGTCATCCTACAACGAATTGTCAAATTTGACTGCAAATATTCTCATTTTTAAATCCCTGCTTACGATAATTTTGTGGTAACCGGTGAATTTGTCCAATTGCAGGCTCGCCACCAATCTCCTTTGCGAGTTCGCCCCTTATCTTTATCAGATCGCTCCCAAATCATTGAACTCGTGTTTGTATTTCTTTGGTCGCCAAGGTTTGAATCCAGATACTCAAATCATACAAACTTTGATCAAAACAATTTTCTCACTGTTATCAAGATGAGTGAAACTTTTCACTAAACTCAGTCAAGTGGCTTGCCTCGTGAGCCTCTAAGTCGACAAAGTGCCTACCAAAAGAGTTTTTATGTGACGCTGTTGAATTGTTTGGGTCAACGTGAAGTTCGAAGAGAAGGCGAAATAACTAGTTCTTAAAAATTGCAGCAAACAAAAGCTCAAAATTGTGTCAAACCTGTTAGATTAAGACTGGAGTAATTAAAGGGCTTTGCATTACTTGTGCATTTGTCGTGCTTTTTTAACACGGCTAGGAATTTGTATGTTGATCGAACCTTGGGATGGTCTTGCTGTGAAAATTGCATGTTGGTCGCTAAAATATCATGGTTTCGACAGGAAATTAATACGTTCTTTGGTAGGGAAACGAGTCGGAAGACTTTGGGGCGAACCGGTTAAGGTGGGGGCGAAATCGCAAAGGTGGTAGAGGGCTGACTTGCACTGGGGTGAATTCATAATAAACATAATTTTCTTACCCCCATTCTAGTAAATCTATTGAAAATTCAACCCCATTTTAGTCAATCCAGACATGAAAATGCGACTCTGTCCAGCAGCACATCCCATTAGTCTATAGGAAGTGCCCCTCACCTGGGCTTAAAGCTTTACTGATTATATCTAAGCCTGTCTAAACCATTCAACACTGAGTCACAGGAATTTCTCATTTGAAAAAAAAAAGAATCTGCTCTCACTCTTTCCAGCACTTTTGAATAACAAGCGACCTCTTGGATTAGGGCCAAACTTGCGATTTCGTCACACGCTGGCATTTATCATTATCGTAACAGCGATCTAAAATAAGAGACTGACAAAACATGGATAGAAATTCACCAATCACAGTACAGAAAATGACCTTAAAATCCCTCTGAAACATTGTTTGTTTACTAAGAGGTGCGAAACAGGATGGGCGTTTACGATAAATACAAACATTTCAATGATTCATCCACATCTCCAAAGTTCGCACGTTGTTGCAGCACACAGTAAAGATAAACTGAACTGTTATTCTTTCTCATGTTAGTGGCACCATAGTCTGGAAGTTCTGGACCTCTCACAGAATAAAAACGTCGAAGATGAAGATATGGAACTGTTGGAAAATTTTGGAATGCCAAAGCTACACACTTTAGATCTCAACAACACCAATATCACCGCTTTAGGCTTAAAGTAAGTGGGAGACTTATCATTGAGGAGACAAGTGCACAAGTGACCTTTTCACTATCTGTGTGACGTAGAATTAGACTAGGAGAATCGCTACTGATTTCGTCTGAAAGGGATTCTAATCTCTCGTAGGCTAACTCCATCCCCTATTCACAAAATCTAGTACAAAGTGCCCTCCGTACTTTCTGGTAAATTGAGGCAGTAGAGATAAAGTTTCTCTTTACGTAAAAAAATCGAGTTCCTCCATTTTTTCCCCTTATGGTGTCTAGTTTTAAGATTATAACTAAGATTATGTGGCTTTCGAATGGCTGTGTGTCAAAGTCACGGCTGAGTAATTCTCCAAGGTTTTTAAAATGTACACGGTTTAGAGCAAGAACTACGATGGATCAGTGCATACGCGCCCTTGTCTCCTCGCTACCGTAGATTTGCTTGCAGCGATGTAACCTACAATATTTCTTTAATGCAGGAGGGTGTTAAATGGCTGTCCAAACCTCACAGATCTAAACCTATCCTCATGTCGCGGACTTCCTCGAGGGATCAAACAACGCCACCAAGGAGAGGGTGTTCTTAAACTACCACAGCGACTGGTGGAAAGTGAACAGATTAGTAGTGACAGCGAGTGAACGACTTTAACTAGGCTTTCTCTACAGAAGTTCCAAGCGGAAGAGGTTGCATAACTCAAGCTCCTAGATAAACCATCCTGTGTTTAAGAATATGTTAGCTAAGAAATTCAGTCAGATCCAGCGGCGTGTTTTTTAAGCCAAACGGAACTTACTGTACTAGCAACTTTTGTACAGACGTCTCATGGTTCCTGAGCCACACACATACGTGAAATAAATTCCCTTTTTAGCGTCAAATGTGTATGATAAAAATGTGTTTTTACAAAATGCGTTCCTATTGTTTGGTGGGTTGCCTAATTGAGACTGTGGGATCCGTTCGCGATCTCGCTGGTAACGGGCTTGTCTGGTAACTGAATCGGCAGCATGTGTTGTTGCCTCGCTGTAGGAGTGACTACTTTCTCATTTCTCCGTACACTATCAAGGTCGATCAAATACTAAGGTCTTGAGAATAAATAAAATAGTCACCAACAAAGGAAGCTCTTGATTGTTCAACAAATTCTCCATGTCAGTAGCATAGGAGATAGATATAGAAAAGCTAGGAGAATATGCTTAATGATATTAGGGTAGACGGGTTTAACAAAACCAGAGCCTAATTAAACTCTAATAAGGTTGAAAATCGTCAGATCTCAATACTGTAAAGTACAATATTCTAACGTACAGTGTTTGATGTTTTTTTCGTTTCGATATGCAGAAACAAAGAAAAAATGTCTTAGTCTCCTCAGAACACAAACCCTTTCCTCGATGAGCTGCTGCATAACCAAACCCTGAAACATTATCCAAAGGCGGACAACGTGCGCTACTGCGAGTATCGGGTCCTCCGATTTGTGTATTTGCAAAACCACTGTTTCGAATTCATTACCATTGATGTTGATTATTTTCGTTCAGTCAAATTCCTAAAGGCGTAAGTTTCGAGGAGGAGCAAATTACATGTAATTGTACTATGGCTTGAGGTTAGTACATCTTAGTTCAATTAACTTGTCCCTTTGGACATCTGACGGAATATGTTCGAAATTAGACGGAAATATCCGAGATCGGAGGGAAGTAATAACGTGAGATACGGCGGAAATGCAGCACTGTGGCCACTGCACGTGCTGAATATATAGCCAACCTGAGATTCGTCATAAATGTGTGATTTGGTTTGTAATCGTTGTTACCTTTATTTGGTTATTACACGTGAAACATTCTCCCTCCTGTAAAGTTTATCTCTACTTTTCATCCCCAGTAGCACTCAATCCTATATTTTAATTTTGTTTACATGTAGTTAAGGAGAGAACACAACTTCTGGCCATACATTCGTGAAATCACCAACTGCTATGTGTGAACGCAAACACTCGTGATCTTAGGAAATCAAAAGCGTCTGGGGTGACAAAATACCCCACCCTCTCCCTTTCCTCCCTCTCTTGACTTAAAATTAAGAACCATCAACACTTGGGCATCTTATCTCGTCCAAAGCGTTTTCTACCCAAAGTGATTTGTTTCTCTTCGCGCCTCAAAGATAAGAAAACGAGGTTTTCGCGTACGTGAAACGATTCTGTCCATTCATGGCTTCCTTTGGTATGACAATACAAGACGGTGGGCCATTTTACAGCCCCCTAAAAATTGAAACATTTCTGAATTTAAAAGAAAACATTCAGAGACACTGTGCCAGAGAAATATCTCCACTGACCAGTGATTCACTATAGATCTCGAAGTAATAATTATTAATATTATTAGCACTATTAGCTGTGGCATTTTTGGTAAAATATATTTCTCTACACTCTGATTTGGAATTTCCCTGCTTTAGTGAGATATTTCACTCCTTTGAAAGGCTTGTATTTCTGTAGAAAAAGACAGATAAAACAAATGAGCTGTAAGTTGTGATGCTCTGAAACACGACTTCCAATTAATTATCTTCTTTAAAGCTAAGTCTACAGTCAAAGCAATCTTTGACCCATTAACCCCTTATAGTGACCAGGATCAAATTTCTCCTCACAATATCGCCCCTGAATCAAACATTAAGGTCATGAGAACAAAGTAAATGATCACCAACTAAAGAAACCCTTGATTGTTAAGCAAAACTCCTCGTCATCACCTCAGGAAATGTATAGAGAACAGTGCGGAGAATATGCATACTGATGTCAGGGCATAAAGGGTGTATTGGTGGGAACACAGTGTTACTCTATAAATGCATGCGAATGGATCTTTAACACTTTTTAACTCCCCCGACAGTGAGAGAAAAAAACGTAGCCCTTCGGTTGCGCTACATTTCTACGAAGTTGTTTGGGAACATTGAACGCACTTGTCGATTTTCCTGCGACGGCAAAGAATAGCCTCTGTTTGGTGATATAAACAGTTTGTATGATCAAGCTGATTGCTGAAAATTCACCCCTGAGTCGTGTGCACATTACAATCCAATATTCCATTGATATCGGTGCTTTAAGATTTCTTTCTAAACCCTTTAAATCTTAGATCTGATTATAATTTTTCCCCTCCAGCTGCTACACATAAATTGGTCGAGGAATTTGGCGTTGGATCAAGATTAAAAACTTCTACCTGATAATTTTTAGTATTCTCATCACTTGTTTGCTGTATATTGTATTGATATTATAGAGAGAAGTTTCATGTTGATCACTTCTGGGAGTCAAAAGGTTAAAAATATTAACCGATTCGCGTTATGATAGAGAGACCTGGAGGTGGAACTGGTGGTTCTGATGTTTAAAAGGAAACACCTGAAAATTAACGTGATTATCACTCTGACACCAAAGTTTATTCAGTTTACCTCTCCATAAATATCCAATCTGCTGACTTTGAGGCCTGAGGCTGCGAGCTGGGAGATCTTGAATTTAATCTGCGACAAATTTATGAAAATAAGTTATTGTGCTCGCTTTGTGGAACCAACGGGAGCACTAAAAAGGGCGGTGGGAGGCGGGTCAAGTTTTTTGTTTGACCTACTGAGGTATTTGAAGAGGAAGATCGTACTAGATCGTACTAAATCGTACTAGATCGTACTAGATCGTACTAGATCGTACTAGATCGTACTAGATCGTACTAGATCGTTCTACATCGTACTACATCGTACTAGATCGCACTAATTGGTACTAGATCGTATTAGATCGTGCTAGTTGGTACTAGATCGTATTAGATCGTACTAGATTGTACTAGATCGTAATATCATCCAGTACTATCTCTATACAAAGTGGAGTGTGCTGAAACTCGTCAAGTTACGAAAGTTAGACATTTTACGTCTTCGCAAAAATTAATTCCTGGAAGAGAAAAAATTGCCAAGCGTATAACTTTCATGCTTCATGGTGGGTGATTATGTAACGTGAGTCCCACCGGCTGCTAGGATCAGCGGAATGCACTGTCTTATTTGGCGATGAACTGCCTTTCCTAGAGCACGAAATTTAGGGAAGTGAGTATAAAGAACATCACTTACAGACATTGTACAAGATTCGTCGGGCGGAGGGGCTCCAGTCTGAAGAGACATCTGAAAAAAAAAAATAAAAACCTCAATTTTAGTTATTGTTGTGCTACAACGTCACTATCAGTATTGATAATAGCTGTTAAAAAAGTTACAAATCCCTTTGGCCTGTATCTACCCACCATAAATTTTGGAACAACCCACCATTCATTACCCTGCTTCGCAGCTCTTGACTGGTCTTATCTAGAAGAAGACCTTTCTTTCACCGTTGCATTGCGTTGGGTGTTTCAAGACTAAATATCGTGACAAGACTCAAGAACAGCTATGAAGGACTTGCGTGTGTATGTGTGTACAATGTGCCGATTGAAGTTGAGTCACGCTTAGTTTATCATTGAAAAATTTAGCCAAGATTTTTTAACTTCGCGTAAGAGTGACTAGCATCTAATTTCTCCTTACAAGATCATCCCTGAATCAAACATTAAGGTCAGGAAAATTAAGGAAATGATCACCAACTACCACCAACTAAAGGTCGCTGGAGCTCTTGATTGTTAAGCAATTTCTCCTTTTTCAGCAGCTTAGGAAATGTATAGTGAATAGTATGGAGAATATGCATACTGATGTTAGGTGTTAAGGGTTGATCTTTCTCATCTTGCCTTTTTCACTCTTGTAAACAAAACAGCTTATACCCTCATTCCAGTTAAGGGTGATTTTGCAAGGCATAATAAAGTGGCTCTTTAAAAAGTATCCTTATATAAAATTGAACTTACATTTCCCCTTAGATTTGGTAACCTCTGGGGTAGTATTTTACCAATCTAGAGGAGGAAAAGCAATAGGTCACATTACTTAACAACTCAAACAGATCTATGGCTTCATTTAGACATACACAGTAGTATTTAAATTTTGACAATCTCTTTGTTAAACAGAACATGTCAGAAAGATTTTGAGTCTCATCAATGACAGAGTTTATAGGATCTATAGAACCTAAGGAGCAGCCCTGAAACAGGATAAAATTTCACATTCTGTTCTACATGCTATGGGTGCAAACCCATGAACTGTACAGTAACTATGCAAAGCCAAGGCTTAATATACCAGTACATACATACATGTACCTCTAAGGAGTAATAGAGATTTAAGGAATCACATGATAAACAACACTAGAAAAAGCAGTGTTTTTCCCCCTTTAACTTAGATCACTGACTTGTTTAATCCTTAAAGGAATTTGACCATAACTTCTATAAACAATAAAGACAATGCACCACTTTGCAAAAGCAAAGGTTTTTTTTTTCTTTCACTGAGATCATTGACTTCTTCGGTTGTTGAGGCAATTACCCTATACAACCTTCTTGCATCATAGTAGTACAGTTTAGGTATACTAGTATATCAGGCTTGGGTTACCAGTGGTTATGGCAAACCCCACTTGGTGACAAGATAGAGGTGGCCAGAAGAATGAAATGTTTTTACGAGTAAACAAACGGTTATCCCTTTAACTCCAAGAAGTGATTAAAATGTAACTTCTCCCTATAATATCCATACACTATCCAGCAAACAGGTAATGAGAATACTTAAACTTCTCAGATAGATAGTACTAATTTATCTGCTTCTATACTTTATTGAACAACTATTGATGTATTTACCAGTTATGCTTCTCTTTATAATTTAACAATATCTAACTATTTAGTTTTTAATTTTCTTTATATATTGTAAAGAATACCCGCCTCGAATAGCAAATTTGCTATCTGCGGGTCAACATAATCTAAATTATTTTGTAAAAAAAAGAAAAATAAAGTGTGTAAAGTGTGTAAAAGATAGAAGTTATCTTGATCTAATGCTAAATTCTATGAACTTGTTTCAAAGAAATGTGTTGCAGCAGGAGGGGAGAATTAACAATCAGATCTTGGGAGTTAGAGGGCAAAAGTAGATATGCGTGTGGTTATAAACTTACTTCCCACACAAGCTCCTTCTTTACAGGATCAAAGGAACATGTTCCCACTGAAATAGTAACAAAAAGTAACAAAAAAGTAAACCAAAAATAAATAAATAAATAAATAATTTAAGTTACGTAAGTTATTCTATTCTTGATTTCACCATTAACATGAGAAGTATGGAAAATGGCATGACTAGCTGGCAAGCAAACTCATTTTTACAAGAAGCAAGCTAAGAAAGCCACAAGAAAATACCTGAGAAATCACAGAGTGAAGGAAGCCCTAGTCCCTTGCAACACCTTGCACATTAAAACAGGCAGTTACATTCACAGACTGAAATGTTTTATCTGAGAATTCAACCTACCTGATGGAGTAAGATTCACATTCAGGACTTGCTTAGGGAATGGAACTGTCACCACCACATCTTCCACCTCAAAACAAACAGAGAAACCTCAAGTGAATGCCAACAACATGCACCAGTACAATGTATGTATCAGAATAATCTCACTGCTGTAAGAAACACTTAAGAGTGAAGAATTGTTGCATTAATGTACTTTTTCAGTCGATTAGTTTTTCTACAACATTTATTTACACTCACCACTTTTCCCATTGTTTGCTTGGGTCCTACAGTAAGATCAAACCTTCCAGAACCACCCTAATAATAACAATGATTACACTTTTAAAGGCATTCTGTGAAGACAACCAACAGAATGACTTCTGTACATTGTGCCAAAGCCAAAATCCCACCTTCCACCAAATTTTTGATAAATGCAAGGTGTAATCTACTTTATTAGCTTATTCAATTAAAGGATAGGTGCCACCAAAATATGCATGAAATAATTTTGCTGAATCACAACAAAGTTCTACATGGATGGCACATAAAATCTACTTACTGGTAGGCCTTAAATTTGTGAGGAAGAAATAAAAGTGCAGTGCTCTCTGACACATATTCAAAAGGAAATTGAAATCCTGAAGAAATTCTTAATTGGATAATAATATGATTGTCATATAATCAATTGGTTTCAAAATTACTCTGCATGATACACATGTACATGTAACTTATTTCACAGATGCCTTAACAAAAGTTCTAAAAATTTCCTGTAAATAAAGAGTATTCTACAATAGGCCAGCTGGTAGCTTATCTGCAGTGTATGTGCACTTATGAATAAAGGGGGTTAGTTTCTGAAGAAACCATGGTGCTGCATTGATGGGAGAGTATAACAGGGTAATTTGGTTTCATCAACTGGGTTGATAATGTAAATTGGCCTCAATAAAGAGTTTCAAAGCTGACACTTTGAGTGTAAGCCCTTTGTCATTTGCCCTGTATGTGCATTTACCACTGGTATATGAAGGAACTTACAGGAACTCTGAACATGTTGTTAAATACATCTTGATCTTTGAAACCTCAGTCAAAAAAGGAAAAAAATCCACAAAAAAGTTTTCCTTACCTCATGATAAGAGATCTGAGGTTTTGCATAGACAGGAATTGCAACAGTTCTATACAGGGAAGATAAAGATTAATCAATGGCAAAGGCTTATCAACAAAATAATATCACTTTGAATTAAGCAGTAATTGAATACATGCTTAGATAAACAATGGACAAGCACATGGAATGAACTTACCCAGAGGTGATGTGGTAAGACAAAAGTCTGTAATTTCCATCAGGAGGAACAAATGACAAAACTTTCTCCCCCTGAAAAATATAGAGGCCTTCAAGTCAGAATAAAGGAAGAAGGAACAAAGTCAGCTCTTACAAAAAAGAATACATGATTCATATATAGGAAATCAGAGAAAAATGCACAAGATTACTACCATGCTCTAAAAATTGCTGCTGATAACTAGGTCCTGAGTGCAATATGAAATAAAGGAAGTCCTACAAACTGTAAATGAATTTGTATAACTTTCTGTGTGATGATGTTATAGCTGAAAATAGCAGCTTTCAGTCTTTTATAACAAGATTAATGCATTTTAATCACTGATATAAGATACTTGTACAATAAAAACTTACTTCCCATCTCTTTAACCTCACACAAGGATGAAAACTTGGATCCTCTAACAATCTTGAGTTCACAAACGAGAGTGAGAGATCTGGCATTCCTGACAGCTTACAACACGAGTCAATCTGAATCAAAGCCAAAAACAATAACTGCATCGAAAAAAATGATTTTAATGATAAATTCCTTTTAGATAAAAGCTGTCCAACAATATTCCATTGGTTCCAAAATTGGGAATTGAATTTCAGTTACAGGAGGAAAAAAAATTCATATTGTCACTAACCACTCCTTGGATCTCTGTAAAAACTGTTGATCCCTGTAAAGAAAAGACACAAATTCAGTGCAGAGCCATAAATAAAAGCAGCAAGGCCAAATTTATGATGTATCAAATCTTTGACAGAGTACATACATGTTTGTCAATGATGCAATCAATTTCCTCAATGACATCAAAATAAATCTGCAAAGAACAATGAAACATTTTCCAGTTAGAACACGAGATGATTACCTATGTCAAGATTTTCTCACTGTATCAAGCAAGAATGAGTAGGACCTAGTTTCATGAAATAGTTTTATCTTTATTAGCAAAAAAGCAGTACGAATCAAAAAGTCTTTCAAGAATTTGCTTCTACATCCTACAAGGCACATTCATGGCAAAGATCTTACTGAGTTAATAGAAACTGACTGCAAGGGTTGTATCGTCTGCTAACATGACTTTTTTACCTTTTTTACCTTTTTTACCTTAATACTCATATTTTAATGTAGATGTCTTAGTCTTTTAATTCTGTATTGTATTTTACACTAATATGTGTCCCCTTATTAGTATGGGTTCTCCCAGGCTACATGGTTTTGTCACTTTAATAAATATTATTATTATTATTATTATTATTATTATTATTATCCTGTTATGATATGGATGCATGGAAAAACCCTAAACAGTCAGAGACTATGGTTTTCGATGAACTTTTTTTTATCTCAGTTGATTGTTTCCTGCAACTTGAAACAAGAGTTTCATTACACTGGTCTACTGTTATACCTCATTATGACTATATTTGACTCCAGTTCTTCTCCAAGGAACATTAGAAAGTTGACCAGTTGGAAGATGGGTGCCAACACTAAAATGAAATGTTCATCAAAAAAACAGCATTTGTCAGATTTCAAGTTTTGTAAATATTGCACAACATGAACTTGTAGGTACTATAGTCCAATCTGCTAATCCTCAAAAGGACAACATAAGACAGTCAAGCTTACTGTGATCCACCAGTCACTGTGTTCATAACTTGTCTGACAATGCTGGGAGGATTAATGAGTTCTCGTAAGATGTTAGGTTCCGTTGCCAAAGGAAAGCCATTATCAAGCATCTCCTCTAGTAACTGGAAAAAAAGTTAAAATCAAATTAAAATACACATACTTCAAAGGTATATCAATTTTAAAGCTTAAGGCTTTTTTTCTAAGAGGAATGGTATTTAGAATGCTTCATTATACCTCCTCACCTCAAATACTATGACAACATTCTCTTTAATGGACGTTTCAGTACAACTGTTAAAATACTCAGTAAATGTGTCCACAACTCTGTGTAAAAACTCTATCACAAAAAGAGGTGGCACTGAAAAGAAAATGAAAGAACAACAATGATTAAACAATAAACAAATACTGTACATCAGTTTCTGTGTGATACAACCTCTCAGACCTTCCACTTTACACGCCAAAGTTCTAATATGGCAAAGTGTTAATTTGAGTCCCAAACAATCAGAGAGAAGTGTTCAAAAGTCCCCTGAGACCACCAAAACTACATGTATATCATTTAGTAATAAACCAAATACACCTCTCCAGAATATTCATCAAAAGGCATATTGCATAAGGCAAGAAATGCTTTTTTCTAGTAATTTGAAAGCTTATTTCTATCATTAGATTATTACTATTAGCTAAAACTTAAAACAGTTATTAAACCACTGCATGTACAATGCCTGTCACCAAGTAAATGGTGCACACTGTATTTCTGTAATATTAGCTGTGAGAGAGTACTTTGCATTAAAAGCCTACATGTACCTTCACTCTGAACTACTGCCAGGAAAAACAGGCTGTTCCTGTAGATGCTTATAAGGTAATGATGGGGAGCTGCAATCACTGCAGGAACATCATCAGGTGAATTAGCCTGATCAAAACAAAGATACAACTTAGCATCACTCTAATTTTTAAATAATTTCATACACAAACATAAATGTATATGAATATAATAAAATAAACGTGTTTGTAACATTCAAGGAGCAGCCCAAGCAGAAGTTAAAAGTGGGTATCTTCCTGAGACATCCCATATCAGAACCATATTTGTTTATGGAAGTCAAAGCCTTTCCAGAAAGAAAACTCTTCCTTACCCAAATGAAGATTCCCTTAAAAAAATTTACCCAATCAAATGTTACCTTTAAAAATGCAGCTTTCTACATATGCCTCAAGACTGAACACTAGTCTGACATTCACTGTAAATTCAGTCAAACCATTTTCTCTTACTTTTTAAAGAATCTTGAACAACCATATACATGTTTTATATATTTTTTAAATTTTTAAAGTATCTCAGTGATAGGTGGTAAACACTGTTTTCAGCAATTAGATTTTAGTATATTAGTTTTATTATTATCATTATTATTATTATTAGGACCCAAAATGGTTGAAGCACTGTTGAAGATGTAAGACCCAAAACAAAGAGAGTTTTAGCATGAGCTCCCAGGTAGCCAATCAGGTGTTACTCATATATGATCAAGGTATTTGCCATAAACCAGCATGTGATGAAAGAACTACCTTTACATTAACTTTAAAATCATAACCAATGCCATACAGCAAATAAATTTTGTGTCAAAAGATTTAGTAAATAATAGAAGCACAAGGATGATGGTTTCAAGGAAATTTTAAGACTTTCAAAAATTTTGAAAACGTCTACCCTCTAATCTAATCGGTAGAACAGTTCAAAGTCTCTTATTTTTCCTGTATTACCCAGGGACACAGTCTTGAAACGATTGTTTGTGTTTGTCACGTGAATGAAACTAGGACCACTTCCACTTTCTGCATGATTTCAAAGCTATAAAGAAGACACTTACTGTTAAATGACTACTACTTTACTAACAAGCCCTTTGTGAAAATCGTTTTTTAATTTACCTTGTTCAGAGCTTCGAAGAAATGATCACATACGGATCTACCAATTACACTTTTCCAGTGCTTTTCAATGAATATGTCACTGTTAGGAGACAAAAATGGAACATGTCAAAAAACATAGCAAGCGCTGAGACAGTTATCGTTATCGATGCAGATACGAATACATGTATCTTTTTGCTTCATATTTCATACTTACCCCACATTATTGATTACAAATAGGCTGTTTATCATGTTTAAAATCTAAAAAGATAACACAAGTACGATAGCCAAAATGGAGGCGCTGCAAGAAGGAAAGTGAGATATTATATGTACATTACACCATATATAGACTGAGTATCGCAGCGAACCGCTTAGACCTAAGCTCTCCCCAGGACCTACTCAAATGGACGTGAAGCTAATGTCCCATTCTTTAACATTGCCTACTTACTTATTTCAATCATTGCTCAGATTCTTTCCTGGTTAGAGTAAAAGCATCTATGACTTACTTTCGACAACAAATTCTCCTCTGCTTAATCTTCATGGTTAACATGTGTTTGTTGGTTAGAAAGCACAAAATGATGTGTTCGAATAACTAATTTATTTTCCACACAGATATCATCTAAAATCTATACGTAACCCTAATCCATTAATATGGCCATACTTTCCTTTAGCACTTGAATAAAACGTCGATCCCATAAGCTAGTTAAGACCTTCATCGTGTACTAAGCATAATTTTATTTAAAATGAGGCAAAAATGAAATAAAATAATGATCTTTCCACACCAAGCCTCACGCGCAGGAAAGTGATCGTGATATTGATTCAAGAAGTCGGAGCGAAAGACGAAGGGCTAATGCTTGAAATGTCAACTTTAGAAACTCATAACCTGAAAAATAACGGTGGAAATCTACGCATTGTTCCAGCTTAAAACGAATACGGTATTTTGACCCAAGGAAAAGAAGCAGTTACTGAAAAGCCCTCTCCGATTCAATTTAACGCCCACACGGTTCTGCAACCTCCTCAAAACAACCGACCTTTATCATGCCCGACTACAACAACAAGAAGTTTCCTTGCATCTTCAAAAGATGTTGAAAAGAAACTGTCGATCAATAACAGATGGTCAAAATCGTATCCAAACATCTTTTTCTCAGTTTTTCAAAGAAGGCGGAAAAAGTTTCAAATCGGTGGTGAAAGTGTTATTGTAAATCTAGGGTATGTTTCCTGAAAAAAATATGATGTTATTTTTTGCGTTTTTGTTATTTTTTTTTTTGGAGAGATTCCTGGAGCGATAAAAAACTAAACCGACAACATAGAACCGCAGTATTCCGTAAAAAAAAGACAACAAACCTCACATTTTACTTAAACTCTTGAACGCAGTAGTACTTAACCCCTAAGCAGAGCTCTCGAATCAGACTGAGTCAAAGGGCAGGTGAATGACGGCGGCCACATGGCGTCAATGGAGATAACATCATTCTTATATTTATATTTGCTTTCAAAGAAGACAATTCAGCATCATTTTTTTATGAATTTTTACTTCCAGTTATTTTGCATTTTACTTATTTCATCATCACTCACTTTATTTATTATTCGTCATCGTTTATCACTGTTTTTTCTTTAAACTTGAAAAGTTTCCAGACATCTCTATCAAATCTCCAATTGCAACCGCTTCTATAACAAAATGTTGAGATCCCCCGTTTTGTCATTTAATCAGATCGTTTGATTTTGAAATGCTTTGTTCATCTATAATTAAAAATAATGTTTTTCAACGTTTAGAGTAGCTCGGAGATCAGCAAGACGTTTTGAGTCCGTGGGTGTCTTTGGTGTTGACCTGGTAACTTCTTAAAAAAAAAAAAAGACAAACTTTTCTCTTTCCTCAAATCTGAGATTACCCCCCGTCAAAGTTTATTTTTTGAGGATGCAACCGTCTTTTCGGCAAATTCCCTGCAAATTTGAAGTCCTTATAAATTCCGTCAAATTGCATTTCTTTTCCTCAGATCCCAAAGTTTTCCTAGCATGTTGAAAATAAACAGATTCACGAGTGAAGGACTCTTTTATTTCACTTCATTCATCATCTTTTGATCACCTTACTCACTGTTGACTCTGTGAGGTTCTAATTAGCATATCGCACGGCGAGATTTTTTGCCATTTGTCCGTAAATTGACTCTGGAAATTGAGTACTTTTCTTAGCAGACTAGTCCTTCATCTTTTTAAGTTTATCATTATAACAACTGCTCATAGAGGGGTGGAGAATGTTGTTAGACCTTCACTCTGCTACTCCCCAGGTCGGTGAACATTCACAACTATCCACCTTTATTTCGCTAATTAATTTTAAAATGGTGCTGGGGAAATCAAATACCTTAGGTTTAAAAAGAAACTTACAGAGGGTTAACCCGTGAAACAAGGCCTACATAAGGTATTTAATTTGTAACTTAGCTCGATCTCTCTTGGTTCTGCTTCACATGACAAACTCATATTTATGCCAGTCTTAAAAGCCGTTTAGTCTTCTCGAATGATCGGCCACTTCTTGACTAGATCTTTTTTTCCCATAATGGGAAACGATATGTGGGCTTACGATGAACCTGACAATTGTCAGCACCATATGCCCGTGTGTCTACAAACTCTGCACATTTCTAAGCCCCAAGATGAATCAAAACATTCGGCACATGTTTATCTCAGACCATGTTAACTCCTATGGTAGACTCAGTTTCATATTTTGTTTCAGAAACTGAACCCTGTCTCCGCCCATATTCAGGCCCCATTCAGGCAAGGATAGGATTACGACGTCTTTAGAGGTATGTTCGTAGACAGTTCGTTTGTAATTAAACAGGGCTGAATTTTGCTGTCTTAGCTGCATTACTCCGGCCAATAGCGTAAGATAGAGGCAGGAATGGGTTGTCAATAGAGAGCCCTGTTTTCTGTCTATGCATTCGGACGTGCGGTAGAAGTTTAGCTCTTATGACAAACATTGGTAATTTTTCCCAAAAGTGGCGCTATAATTCCCACCCTTCCTTAATGTAGTGGGGGTTCATGTGGAGTAAATTATTCATGGTAATACCTGCGCTCAATTGTTGTCTTTGGACCTTTTTTAATAATGAGTGAAATATTATGGCAGATCATATAATGCTTACCTCTTGCACGTCAATAGCAGGGTTCGAAGTCCCGGCGCAGTTATCCTATTCAAGCCACCTTGGCCAAGTCTAAAGTAATCCGAGTAAATTTACTCGCTGTCTTCATCAACGTTTTCGTTTCATTCGAAATACGATTCCGATAAGTTTGACAAGAAAAGCTGCATTGGTCCCAATAAACGACAAAGCAGTTTCACTAAATGGCCGATAACTAACAAGATAGAAATCGCAAGGCAATATTCCGTCAGTACCTGAGAAAACTTTTTTTTTGACCATCCAATCAACTTTATTTCGGCTTTCTAATAAGCTTCATTTTCCCTGACAGAAACCCCCGTTTATGTGTCAACCGTTAACAGAAAACTAGCTTGAATGACGCTGACTGGTAACAATAGCAGGAATCCATGATGCCACTATGGTGGTCGAATGCCTAGAGCAAAATTTTAAAATGTATAAAAATATAACCATTGAACTATCTTAGATTAATTGAGGCGATTTAGTGATAGGGGATAAAGGAGATATCCTTTTCTCTCAGCACGACTTAGGGTAGAATAAACCAGTCTTAAAAGGCAGTGTGAATGGATCATCACTTCTTGCAATTTTTTTTCAACGAAAACAGAGGTTTCTCCTCTAAATTAAATATATAAACTTCATGGAATTGACATCTTTCAGGCTGTGGGCTGCATCTCCGGTTGCTTACGTGTTACTTTTCCGTTGGCCGATTCAAAATGTACAAAAAAAGTTGTTTTTTTTTTAGCAAATATTACAATAACATATTTCTTCCAAATTTTGCTCCGTTGAAATAATATTTTTACGTCGGTACATGATTTTAAATTTTAATACGTATTCTCCATCAGCCAGCTCTCCGCCGCTCTTAATTAAATTAACTCGCTGTCAGGGAAAGAAATTTATCTTAAAAGGAATCTACCATTGAGCATCTGTCTGCAAGAACGGTCTCACCTGGTCTTAAGAGAGAACACAATGTCCTCTTGTGCGCTTGAGCACGTGCAAAGGTCTTAAGGAATCGCTTTGAATAACATCATACCATAAACACTCAAATCAGCCCCTCTCTGCAATAAAAATCCCTCTTCACTAAGTCGCTCGCTTAAAGGTTCAAGCTTTTCAGCTCTCCCCTCTCTCCCCTCTCTAATACAGCTCCCCCCTATCCCGTCCCACCTAAACAAATCTCCATGTATCGTTATTGATTTTGGCCAGTTAGCGTTTCAGTGAACCTCTAAATAGCATTTGATAGCTTTTGAATTTAGACATTTAATGCGACAATCAGAGGAAAACTAACGAGTGGCACATTGGTCCTCACCAATGCTTTACAATAATCCCCCCCCCCCCTGGCTCCCTCTAATAAGCCCCTTTCTCTCAGAAGCCCCGTTATCCAATTAACCCCCCTAAATGGAAACCCTGCAAATTGATAAGCGCCCCCTGTGGCTCATCAGGGCGTTTGTGTTACGTTACGTTAATAACCACAAGAGGGCTCGTGTCTTGTAAATTTATATGCTTTTCATTCCGGGTTTCCTTATTCAGAAGTTCCTCGACCTGTTCCAGGTTACAAGCGTAAATAAATTGTACTTCTTGATCTCTTTACTTTTCCTTAATTCCATCGCAAAAGAAAAAAAAAACAACGGTGTGAAAAAGATTCTTGGCTTCTTCCGCAAATTCTCGATAGATTTCTCTCAACGAACAGTCAGCAGTTACACGTTAGACGAAGTTGGTCAAAATATAGTGATCTGTTTGTGATTAGAAGATCAATTATTTGAAAAATGTGAGGCAACTAATAATACTGAAATGAAAATAATCATAAGGATAATAATAACAGTATGAAAACATTGGATCGATGTCAGTATCTAAGCAATTAACTGCGCACCTACCCGTCCCCAAACTCAACGTTAAAACACTAACTTGTTATTAGTTGATTGTTGTTGTGTTACGGGAGGGGTAGGTGTGCAGCTGCTCAGATGCTGACGTCCAACAAAAAAAATTTATTTGTACCATGTTTAGCGCATTGTGACAAAATATAAAGTTAGACGTAAAATTTACAATTCTAAAATACATTACTAAATGCCTTATCAAATAAAAGGTCTCCTTTTAAAGGTACTTAAAAACGGAAATGATTGAACTGCAGATGAAAGGAGATTGCGGAGTCTGCGGGCGGTATAGCGGATCGATCTATGTCACCTTTAAGGTCC